CAAAGGTCAGGAACAGACTTCCAGACAAGACATGGCAATTTCTATCGTTTAACTGGCTGAATCCCCCACTCGGTGTCAGAAAGAAAGCAGCTTATCATCTCTATTGGGGGCGAGCCGCAGTTCAGTGGTAGAGCATCTGCTTTGCATGCAGAAAGTCTTGGTTTAATCCCCGGCATCTCCAGGTAGGACTGGGGAAAGACTCCTGGTCTAAAACTTTGGAGAGCCACTGCCAGTCAGTTCAGACATTACTGAGCTAGATAGAGCAATGGTCTGATTCAGTATAAGGCAGCTTCCTATGTAGGGAAAGGCAAAGCTGACACACTGAAGCCCCGAGGATGGTGTTGGACTCTGACGAACAACCATGTTAGCAGCTCACACAGAGAGCAGTTCCCCCACAAAAGGCAAATACAGGAGGGCAGTGATACACAAGGGACAGTTTACTGGAAAATAGGGGTTATTCTTGACTGTGATGGGTTTTATTTTCGCAGCACACCCAAATGTTGGCTTCCAGAGACACTGCGAATGTGTGGGCTTCCAGAGAGAAGCTCATGCCTGCTCTGCCCCTCCCTGGTCCTTTTCGCCGCCGCACCATGCTAAGGTTTGTTGCTGGCTACAGCTTTTAGTTAGCGAGCAGAGAGCTCAACCACAAGTCTTGGTTCAGATGAGGTGCTAAGCCAAACCTTGGTTTGTTGTGGCACCTGGTGCTGCAGCAAAAAGAACAAGGGAGGAACAAAGTGGCTGCAGCCTATTATCCTGGAGTGCACATTTATACAATCTTGCTAAGCCTTTTTCTGACTGACCAGCAAAATCCTTCTCTCCTTATTCCCGCCGGACTAAATTTAACAGGTGGGGAGGGGCCGCCCAGCTGCCAATATCTTGATGTCACTATGACATCAGGTAACACAGTGCTTTGAAGCCTTGATTGTTGGGACTTCAGAGCGCAGCTCAGGGCTGTTTGAAAGCCTTTTTGGAAACAGCCCAAGGCTGCTGTTTCAACCTCTGAAACCTGGAGTTCCAAAGAGCAGCAAGGGGCTGTTTACAAAAGAGATTTCAAACAGCCCCACACTGCTGTTTGAATCTTTGGTTTTTCTAGTTTCAAGGAGCAGTGTGGGAGGGAGAAATGGTTTCCACTGAAACCGCTGCTAAAGTGGAAATAATTTTTCTAGTCCATTTTAACATCCCCTCCAAAACAGTACTTCTGTCTTGTCAAGATTCAACCTGAATCCATATAATCCTTATAAGCAGTAGTAAGGCCCTCACACACAGCAATGCTAACTGACCACAGTTGGACTGCCATCTGTAGAGGGTCTCCCTTCCTTGTAAGACCTGTAGCGTCCAAAGTCTATTGCCTAACTGCACTACATGCCCAGAACCAGCTGGTAAACTTAGGGGTGTACAGATTGTTTTGTGCACATTCTCTCAGTTATGCATCCACCAACCCACTATTTCATACTGCTGGGTTGAGAGAATGGCCGCTTGCCACCTCTGAGTTCATGAGCTGATGGGAGGCTTGAATTGGGGACATTTTGTGGCATGCCAGTGGCATTCTTGGCCTCTGGGCTATGCCAGCTCTCTTCAGGACCCTTTTTGGGGTTTTCTGCTGCTGGCAGGTATATGTGTGTGTGTGAGAGAGAGCCAGGGAGGGAGAAAGAAAGCAAGCAAGCAAGCAAGAAAGAAAGACAAGGGAAGTTAGTTAATAAACTGGTAATCAATGGTGGGAGGGGGCAGGGGGCGGATCAGACGCACTAGCAGCCGATTCATTACAACGCCCGAAAATGAGGCTGAGAGATTAATAAGCCTTTGATTTATTGGTGCTTTGAGCCCTTGAGCATTACTCACGGTGTGGCATTGACAGGCCCTCTGTTCCCACTGTGGCCTCTGAGAGCGGGGGTGGGAGGGGGCTGATGCCAGGACCCATCCGGATGAAGCCCTAAATGCCTGACTTGTCAAGGCATTAATGGCTTTGTTGTAAGCCCCACGGCCATGAAAGATTCCCTCTGGATGGGGTAATTGTTATTGATTATGAAAGCAGATAAATCCAGCAGGAGGGCAGAGCCTGTCGCTGGCGGAAAATCCGCCGATGAGGTTGCAAAGAGCTGCCTTGGCTGGTCCCCTGGTTGTAGGCTCCATGGGAAGGGCTAAAGCTCTGAGCATCTGCTTTGAATGCAGAAGATCTGAGGTTCAGTCTCTGGCATCTCCAGGTCTGGCTGGGAGAGACTGCTTGTTGGATACTCTGGAGAGCGGCTGCCAGTAGGTGTGGACAATACTAAGCTAGATGGGCCAATGGACTGGCTCAGTATAAGCAGCTATACTTGACGGTATAGGTGACTTGGAGTGGTTGTGTGTCAAAGCAGGTATGCAATTGTTCTTATTTTGCCCCCATTTTTCTCTTTTAGTGGATGCCTTATTGAAATTTTGTTAGTGATTTGCTAAGTGTTGTTTTCAGGATTCAGCTGCAATTCTGGAGTTGCTTGTATCTTGTGTCTCTAAGACACATGCATGTAAATGCACACACATGATCACTAAGGTACCATGTGGTACACAGCCTGCCAATCTCTCTCTCTCTCTCTCTTTCTCTCTCTCTCTCTCTCTCTCTGTGTGTGTGTGTGTGTGTGTGTATGTGTGAGAGAGAGAGAGAGAGAGAGAGAGAGAGAGAAGCTGTTGCTCTGAAGTCTGTTTTGATCTGTTGCTAACAGATTGTAGGACAGTTTTGTTCTCCAAGAAGTATATCTTTTTAAAAAAAGAACAAACATCCTGCTAGTACAAAATCAGTGTTGGGTTGGGAGTAAATTAATACGGCAAGTAGAGTAGAGCTTCATGTAATATTAGGTAGTGGCTTGGGGCTCCACCAGACAACCTGTTTATTGAGCATTCATTTTGATTTGCTTGCAGAAAGTTTTTTTGCAGAGGTTAGCTTATGTCTGGTCTTTACTGAACATTCCTTTTGCTTTGTTTGCAGGGTGGTTATGTGACAAGGAACATTCATTCTGATCTGTTTGTGGGGTGTTCCTGTTAGTTATTTGTTCACCCCGCACTTTGCAATGCCATTTCTGAAAAAAGTTATTTGTTTTTGAAAGTAGATTTGTCGCCCTAGGGCAACAGAGCATTCTGGGCATTGTCATTTACACCTCAGAGAATTACAATTTCCAGCAACCCTGAGTGGTTTTACAATAAATCCGTATTTCCAGGGAACTCTGGGAATTTTAGGTCTGCGAGGGGGATTGTAACTTGAAGAATTTGTGCTTGGGTTTGCTTTTTCCTTCTCCCTCCCCTATTTCCTTTTCCTCATGTGTCATGTCTTTTTTGATTGTGACCCTGAGGCCAGGGAGTGACCCATCTTAGAAATGTAAGCCACATAAATGCTATAAGTAAAGAAATTAATAAATCTAGTTGGCTGTTCTGAGAAACAGAATACTGAACTGGCCTGATCCAGCAGAAGTTTTATTCCATTATTATGTTCTTAAGGGATGGGCAGGTGAGCCAAGGAAGTGTGATGGGTGGCTGCCTTTCACACAGTGGCTGCAGTTGTACATCACAGTACACCCATAGTTTACTGTCAAGACACAGGTGGCCTTCTGCTTTGCTTTCCCCTTACTGTGTAAAGCAACAAGAATCCACAATCTCTGTTTTAGTGTTATGTCTGGACCAGGGATTGTGGTTTGTTTTGCTCCAAAACTCCATAAAGTAAGGCCAAGGTTTGTTCTTAGCTTCTTGAACCATGGCCTCTGGTTCAGAATGCAACACTAAATCAAGGATCAAGGTCTGGAACTTTTCTGAGGAAAGCAGTAAAGTGTGAGCCATCTCCACTGTCACAGTAAACCGTGGTGGCAAGGCTACATGTCTTGACTTTGCTCTGGCACATTATTTCATGAAATCATAGAATCACAGAATTGTAGAGTTGGAAGGGATCTTGAGGGTTGTCAAGTCCAACCCATGCAATGCAGAAGTCTCTTGCCCAACGTGGGGCTTGAACCCTTGACCCTGAGATTAAGAGTCTCGTGCTCTACTAACTAAGCTACTTTATATGCTTAGTTCCCAACTGCAACCAGCTGCATAGTATACTTGCAGCATGAAATGGGCCAGTCCCATAAAAGCCTTCCTTCTGGAGTCCATGGGTAGTACACAGTGGTGCTGTGCTACAGAACCTAGAAGTGCTTCTGTAATTATCATTTGCTGTAATTTAGGGATAGAGACGGGCAAATCTATCAGTTTCAGTTTTTCTCAATTTCTCATTTTTCCAGTCTTCAGTTTTCCACATCAGTATGCAATTTTTTAAAAAAAGTCCTTTATAATTTATTGGCATTTTATTGCAAATGTATCATAACTTTGAAAAAAAATGTATGCAGTTTTACCTAATGTACATGTATCTTTGCAGAGCAATTCCCCCCAATAGAATGCATTTGTATATGGTGTTTTCACTAATATAAGCATTACTATGCACATTCTACCCTGGTCTGTGCATTTTTAACACATTCCTTGACTGGAGAACTGCATTGCAAATTTCGAAGTGCAAATTGCAGAGAATGGCAGCATTTCAATTTGTGTATTGACTTGGACGTGCACATTAGATAGATTTGCCTCTAAACGCTAACAAAATCAAATTTCTTTCCCATCCCTACAACAGGCTGGGGAAGCTGTAAGTGGACTACAGTTCCCATCATCCTTGATTGCTGGCTAAGGCTGATGGGAGTTGGAGTCCAGTAACATCTGGAGGACCACAGGCTCCTAATCCCCGCCATAACTGCTCTTTCTCTCCAAGAGCTGCAATCGGAACTCAGCGATCTCTCGCCTGCTGCCTTTGCCTCCTATTCAGCCTACTTTAGCTCTTTTTTTTTCTCAGCTCTTTCCAGAATGGCTATCCTTCCATTTCCCATTCAGTGCTGTCTGCCTTTATTTAAAGGATGGATTAGATTCACAGAGCTTTGCAACAGCTGATGGAAGACCAGCACACTGGTTTAGGGCACAGCTGTGAGTTCAGCGCTTCAATGAATAATCTTTACCTGTCTCTTAGATTCAGAGAAGTGGCTGGCGGAGGTTAGGGTTCTCGGATCTTGCCTTTTAACGTTGATTTCCTCCTCCTCTTTTTCCCATCGACCTTCCTGAAGGCTTCAAGACCACTTGCTAGTTGAAAGGAGCTGTTTTACATGCTGTGGGTTGCCTGCCAGTCGCCTCTCCTTTGCTCCTCTCAGTGTACAGATAAATTCCAAGGACACCTTCTGGCCCACCATAGGCCACGCCAAAGTGGCTCGGGAAAATGCCCTTTGCGGGAAAGGGAACGCTTTCCTCCTCCCCAGCAGTTCTTCCACCTGCTTTTCTCTTCCTTTGCTTATTCGCCTTCAGATCCGGTGGTCTGAGCTGGTGCCAATTTGAGATCCCATCATAATGGTGAATCGGTGTCTTCCCTTGAATTTGAACATTTGGGACAGTGTGGTTCGAAAAAGAGTTCTGGTTTAGCCTTTCCCAGACCCACCGCTTAAGCTTTCCTCCCTCCTTTTCCCTGCTTTCTCCAAAACTTACATCCAGCAATTCTCAAGCAGATCTCAGAGGGATGCTTCTTCAGAGCTGGGCTAAGACGGGGGAGCAAGCAGTGGCCACCAGCCTGGTTGACCCGCAGAGCTGACTTGTCACAGGCAGGTGGAGGGGGCTGATTTGTTATGCTGAGAATAAAGGTTATTTTCAACCCCACAAAAAAAGTACAGGTGGGACTCCAAATCATCAAAGTATTCCTTCTATGATCTGGCAGTGGAGTGTATCCTCCCAGCGACGGCAAAATGCTGATGGAATCAGGTTGGCAAGGCAGAGGCCGCAGGACCAGACAGCAGCTTCTAAAACCTGCAAAAAAGTCATTTGAGAAGGCGGTTAAAGTCTGCAAAAGCAGGAGAAGGCTGCAAAAGCAGGGGAGCTGCTTCCCACTGCCCAACAGAACCTTGCATGCTGCGGTGCCTGCATGCAGCCCTGCCAAGCCTGACGGATCAAAGGCAGGCACTGACTGGCAAATGCTCAGACCGCTGAGCTGCAAAGGGCACAGCAAAGGCTGCTTTACTCCACACGCGCATACACCAACTCCAGGCTTTAGCTGGGCAGTTGTTTTTCAACATTCTGCCTTTAGGGTCCAGGGTCCACATCATTCTTATTTTTAATATTATTTTTAGGTCCAGGTTACCCATGCGGCAGAATGAGGAGGTGGTAGCCTGCTGAGTTCGGGTAGCACTGGCTGAACCACTTTGGATAGCAGGGAGTTGGGGAGTGTCACAGTACTGAACAGTTCTCTGTGTTTAAAAACTCTGTAAGTAGAAAGGCAACATAGCGGGCAGAAGTTCTGGGCAAGAGCCTTTCCATGCGATGTGCTCATTTTTTATTTACAGAGAGTTGTGTGTGTCTCAACACAGTAGAGCATTCAAAAGTGATATGTCTAGAGGTGGTAAAGTATCTACCCATCTCCTTCTGCTAAATGTGTGGTCCCACCCTTTGTTTAACTAACTTTTTTTTTTAAAAAAGGTTGTAAAATTGTTGGGCATATACCAACAATCACCATTTTAATTTTTCCTTCCCTCCCCCAAACTTTTACTTTATATAGATTTTAAAAATATAAATTAAAAAATGGTTCTATACTACTCAATAACCTGAGTGGATTGTTTAGAATAAAGGCAAAAACCATAAAACAGAAATGTACATAAAATCTAAAATAGCACAATACTTAAAATAATTATAATTTTATATACATAGATTGAAACCTTTCATTTGATCTCAGGAACTATTCTGCAAAATTTGGTTACAATATCTTAAGAGGTGTCCAAATGCATAGCAAAGAAACAACTTTCTTGAATATATAGTAGCTGGTCCCAAGAATTCATATCAGTGATCAGTGGTGCTCATGCCCAGAGCATAGAAGTGAGTAGGATAGACCTGACCTTTGTTTGCCACAGAACCTCTGCACTGTGTGAAGTATTCTGGGATCTGTTCTAGGGCACAGAGATCACATCAGGCACCAGCCAGGCCTGTTGGCATCACTCATTGCCTTGTGTGAATTGAATGCGGCAGAATTCCACCAATGCCTCTTTTCACCTGTGCACTCCAAGGGAAAACTGGGAAGTGCCAGGGAATCTTGGTGCCTTTATGTTTCTCACTTCCCTTACTTCTCAGTGATGAATCCCCAAGACAACCTGTTTCCTGAGAATGCATCCTGATTTTCTTGCATGAAGCTTACATGGAGGTTAGACCATGTCTGGTGTTTATTGAGCAGTCGTTCTGATTTGTTTGTGGGTAGGTTACACAACAGGGAACATTAATCTTTTGTTGCTTGCATGATATTTTATCGGTTGTTCATCCCACACTTTTTAATGCATTTCCCAATCACTTTCCAAAATGCAAAGTCATGTTGTTTTTAGGTGGATTTGTGGCTCCAGAGTGCTTTAATCCACTTTAAATTGCACAAGCCTAATTTTTTTGTATGCACCTGAATCTGAAGGCAACCTGATAAACCTGAGCAGAGGTGATTTTAGGTTAGCACGGCTGGGTCAGCTGCACTGGGTGCCAGCACCGCAGGAGGAACTTCAGCTATGATGTGGAATCCCTGCAAGAGGTGGTGGTGGGGGGACAGCAAATTTTAGCATTGCACAGGGTGCTGCTGAAATCTAAGAGCCCAAAGTCCGCCACTGTTCTGAGGAACACTAAAGCCAAGTTTGAAAACAGCTGCTGTAGAGGATTTGAGGCCCCATGCCTTTCTTTCACATGGTTGTTGGTGCTATTTAGATTCCAGAGTAAATATTCCCCCTATAGGGCATTTTCACATGTGAAGCCTAAATTGGTTTCTGCAATTAAATGAATATAAAGAAACCTTGAATGTTGTTTTAATGGAAAGGCAGGGTGCAACTTCTCCAGATATGGAATGCAAGCACAACACTGACTAGAATGTCCTTTATGTGAATGTACATTTCATATACTCATATAATACTCAGATGCAATATTAAATGGACAGTGTCAGTTCCCAGACCATCAATCCCTCTTTCCAGGGAACACTGGGAATTGTAGCATCCTTATCAAATCACAGTTCCCAATATTCTTCAAGGGAAGCCATGGTATTTTAAAGTGGTATGATAGTGCGTTAAAGGTAAAGTGCACATGGAGCATGTGATTTGACACATTCTGTGGAAGGTGGAGCTGCTGCTGAGAATGACATCTCCGTGTAGAGTTCCCACTCCACACCATTGTCTGCCACTGGCAGAAGTGGGAAAACATAGCAGCAGGACATGGCAGTCTAGGCCAAATGAGATATTATGGAGTGGGGCAAGGGAAATGGGTACAGGGCTGAAATAGGTACAGTGACGGCCTGTTGCTCTGCATCACAGGTAGTCTGCCCCTTCCTCTTGAGCTGCCATACAAAATAGAGAGAGAGAGAGAAAAACTCAGCTCCCACAATTTCTCTTAATTTCTGCTCTGATGGATGGCGCTTCACGTAAGCCTAAGATGACGCCGTCACCAAGATACCTTTCTTTCACGCCATGGCACAAATCCACCTTCAGATTAATTTGCGAGAGGGGCGGGGAGAGGAAAGAGAGAGTGGGGCTGGAAGACAAAGGAGGGTGGGGTTCCGATCAGGACTGCACAGTGGTGGCCTGCAAAAATCCCCTCTTTTTCCGGGAATTAATTGGAAGCCCCGACTTCCGGCTCTTACATTTCCATAACACAAATGCTCCTTGCTGCTGCGGACAAAGATGCTGGGCGAGGGAGGCCGGCCCTCTGCACCTCCCGTTGCACAAGCACTCGGGAGACTTCAAGCCAATTTGTAAGAACCCCATGCTACTGAGAAGCGGTTTCTAAAAACCCTGCAGACATCAGATTGCCTTTCATTGTGAGGATTGGGAAGCTGGTTAGCCCAGCTGCAGGCCCTTTTGCTTTCTGCCTCCCTCCTTTTTTTGCTTTCCTCTCTTCTTTCCCGTCTCCTTTTGGGGAGGGAATGGTTGTAGCTCAGTGGCAGAGCATCTGCTTTGCACATAGAAGGTCCCAGGTTCAGACCCTGACACCTCCAGAGCCCCCTGCCTGAAACCCTGGAGAACGGCTGCCAATCAGTGTAGAGAACCCTGAGCTAGATGGACCTGACTTGTTGGTCTGACTTGGTATGAAGCCGCTTCCTGAGCTGACATGGGTGACTGGGACCAGCATAGCTGGTGCTGCTGAGGAGCACAGAAGGGGCAGGGTTGGCAGCCTTTTAAATTCCAGATATATTGGCCCCTTGCTAGTGGGGTTGGTGGGTGGAGAGGTAGAACTGAACTTGGAGCCTGGAAGGAGAGCAGAAGAATAAAATTTAAATGGCAGGCTGTCTGAAATTTCACAGCTTGTTTTGGGAAGAGCTGTGGCTCAGTGGTGGAGCACCTGCTCTGCATGTAGAAGGTCCCAGGTTCAACCTGCGGCATCTCCTGGTAGGGCTGGGAATGCCTGCTGTCTGAAACCCCAGAGTGCAGATAATACTGAGCTATTGATGGCCCAGTTATCTGATTTAGTATGACAGCTTTCTACATTCCTATGTAAAGACCTCAGTCTGCATTACCTTCCAGCAGCATAAGGGGAACTGGTAAGAAATAAGAACTTTGGAGGGAATAAAAAGGTAAATTTCCCATTAGATGGATGGCCCAGGGAGATTTTGGAGGGCCAGCTAGGAAGGCCTAGAGGGCCACATTTGTCCGCCAGGTCTGAGGTTCCTCACCCCTGCTCTACACACTCCCCAGGGAGTACCGTATTTTTTGCTCTATAAGACTCACTTTTTCCCTCCTAAAAAGTAAGGGGAAATGTGTGTGCGTCTTATGAAGCGAATGCAGGCTGCACAGCTATCCCAGAAACCAGAACAGCAAGAGGGATTGCTGCTTTCACTGCGCAGCGATCCCTCTTGCTGTTCTGGCTTCTGAGATTCAGAATATTTTTTTTCTTGTTTTCCTCCTCCAAAAACTAGGTGCGTCTTGTGGTCTGGTGCGTCTTATAGAGCGAAAAATACGGTAAGTTAAGGGAACTTCTGAGTTGGCATGCACAGGATTGCACTATAAACCTACTCTTTATTGTTTTCCTTGCAAAGCTCTGGCAGAAGATCAAAGCCAAGCTGGATGAAGCTCCCAAACAATGGGAGTCTTCTTTTCTTATCTCCCTCTTTGCTCACTAGGCTAGCCTTGAGCACAACTGTTTAAAGGCTGCCCGCCCCCAGTCTGTGTCTGAGGACCCTGGAGACTATGGGAGCTGGAAAGTATGATGTCATGTTGTGACATCATTCTGAAGTTGCACATAATGGAAACACTAGACTCTGCTTGCATCATCCCTCGAAAACACCCTCAGGCTGCATCCTTTGTCTTTCTCCCACAGTGGCACATCCATGAACTCCTGTCTTGTTTTGCTGCTGCAGTGTGCAGCTGGGGCCCAAGGCGCTTGGCACAGTAGTGCATGTATATTTGGTCAGCTGTGCATGAACTCCAGCAGTAAACCTGCTAGTGCAGGGCAGCCCAAGGCTGGCTCTGGCAGGTGGCAAGGAGGGTGGATGCTGGGGCCTTGAGTCTGCTTTTTTTAAGCCAGTATGTCTCATAACGGGCAGAGCAAATCTCAAACTAGAGCTCTCACCAGGGTTACCACCTGCCAATGCCAATGCTGTTTCTATGACAAGGCTGGCAGACTGACTTGGTGCTTGCAGGGCGCCATCTGGGCTGCAGTACCAGGCTGCCTGAGCATTCTGTCAGCTGACTTCCAATGTCCAATCCTTGAGCAGCATCCCCTATAAAGCTCCAGCCTCGCAGCTTGCTTCTCAGTCTGAACAACTTTCCTCTGGTGTGGGGACACCGCCCAAGCCCCTGCTG